TCTTCCCTGAGTTCCTCCATGCAGAGGCTGCATGACCCATGACGCTCTGTTTGGACAGCACTGATTGGCTCTGAGCCGATCACATGCACCCTCCAATAAAGACTATGTTTACATAATTTTATGGATGTGACATCCCTCCCACTGTGTAATTTTTAAGGTACTAGGCATGGAGGAGGATGGAGGGACTGGGCTGTCATTTAGGATCATTATACACACCCTAATGTGTAATGCCAAAGTCATGTGACTTGAATAACTCTGATCATAGAGCAAATGTTCTCTCTAGCAATACACATAAAATAGAGCATGTGCAGACTTGCCACCTCTGCTTTGTACAAACGGCATATGGATTGGGGACAGTATAAGAAGGGGAGGATCAGAGAACAGCAGGATCAACAAGTCTTTTTATACACTGCAGAGGATTATTAATCCCTTGTGTTCCACAGTGAGTATAACAAAACTGATTTTAGTGGGTTTAACACTTTCTGCATTCACTATATCTGGTCTCCCACAGTACACAGAACATAGAAGTTCAATTATTTTAGTAAATATAAACTGCTAAATACCTTTGCTAATCAGCAGTTAGAGCAATCTTGTGGCTTCTATCTGTGTCCAGCCCAGCACTAGCTAAAGCTTGTAGGAGAAGTTTTCTTTCTGCTCTAGGAGGATGGAAGCCCCCTGACCTCTGTCTGGATAGTGCTGATTGGCCCTGTGCTGATCACATGCACTCTTTCAAGAAATCAAAACCTCTCTGGCAATATACACCAAACTGAACATGTGCATGCCTGCGGTTCAGTCTAGAGATAAGTGGTGGTTGCTTGAAAAGGGGAGGAACAGAGAAGAAAGGATCAAACAGACTTTTTACACAATGCAGAAGGTTAACCCCTTAGGTTCCACAGTGAGTATAACAAGCATGCTTTACTGCATATACAGACTAACTTTACTGTTGTGGGTTTAGTAACACTTTAAGGTTTTGAGATAAATGTTTTCATCTATATGGAAACAATCTGAATAAAACATCAATAAAGTTACAATATGATGAATATTCCAAGAATCTCATCAATCAGTAAAGTGTAAGTAAAGTGTATGCAAGACTTCGCCCTCTACAAATCTGCCCTTCCAAATAAAAAACTACAGCTTCCACGCTGCTAAACAAACCCACTACACCACTCTCATCCAAACCCTCTCATCCAATCCTCAAACCTTTTTCCACCCTTAATTCCTTACTTCACCCCCCACTGCCTCCACCAACTTACTTACTGCCCAGAAGATTGCCAATCATTTTAAGAACAAGATCAGTACAATGCTTGATGAGATCTCCAGTGTCAAGCTTTCTTCTCTAACCAACATACCAGGTCCAACACCACACTCAATACTCTCCTCCATTGACCCTGCTACCAGCAAGGAAGTTGCCAAACTCCTTTCCGAGTCCCACCTTGCCACTTGTTCCTTAGACGCTGTCCCCTCACAATTATTGCGGCCTCATTCCTGCTCTATCTTAAACTCTCTAACCCACATCTTTAACCTCTACCTCTCCACTGGCACCTTTCCCTCCCCGCTTAAACATGCACTGGTTACCCCCATACTTAAAAAACCCTTGCTGGACCCCACCTTTTTGAGTAACTTATGACCTACCTCCCTGCTCTCATTTGCCTTCAAGCTTCTTGAGCACCTTGTTCACAACTGTATGAGTTGCTACCTTACCGACAACCTTCGTGTTCCCCTACAGTTTGGGTTGCCACAACATTCCACTGAAGCTGCCCTACTAAAACTCACTAACAACCTACTAACTGCTAAAACCAATGGCCATTACTCCATACTCATACTCCTAGACCTTTCAGCTGCCTTTGACACAGTTGACCACTGCCTCCTCAGCAGTAAACTCCACTTCCTTGGCATCTGTGACTCTCCTCTTTTACTTTCTGTTGTGGTACCCCAAGGCCCTTTCTTTGGGCCCCTCCTATTTTCTTTCTACACCTTCTCCCTGGGCCAATTTATTACCTCCCATGGCTTCTAATACCACCTCTATGCTGACGACACCCAGATCTAACTCTACTCGCCAGCTCTTCCCCTTGATATCCTTACTTATCACAAATCTACTGAGTGACATATCAGTATGGATATCACACCACTTCGTCAAACTCAATCTTTCTAAAACAAAGCTTGTAATATTTTCTCCTCCATGATCCCCCATTAATGACTTTACCATTAAGATTAACCCTAAACTCTGACCTCTTTCGGGCCCCACATCCAATCCCTGGTAAATGCTTTACAACATTTCCAGAATTCGCCTCTTCCTGACTATCAACATTACAAACAACTTATCCACGCCTTGGTTATATCCCGCTTTGATTACTGCAACTCCCTCTTCACTGGCCTACCTTTACACAGGCTATCCCCTCTTCAGTCTATTATAAATGCTGCTGCTAGACTTTTACACCTTACTAACCGATCAGAGACTGCTGCCCTTCTCTGCCAATCCCTTCACTGGCTTCCGCTAGCCCAATGTAAAAAGAAAGTCAAAATATTAACCACAACGTACAAAGCCAACCACAACACTGCTCCTAGCTCCAACCTCATCTACAGATATCGTCCAAAATGCATGCTCCACTCCTCTCAAGACATCTTGCTCTCTAGCTCCCTTGTCATCTCCTCCCATGCTTGCCTCCAGGACTTCTTCAGAACCTCTAATATCCTCTGAAACTCCCTACCCCAGTATGTCCAGTCAGCCCCCACCCTGTCCACCTTTATGCGATCTTTGAAAACTCACTTATTCAGGGAAGCCTACCCCACCTAAGAACTGTATTTGAGTCACGTCCATCAGATCATCCCCTGCAGCTATCACCTTTTTGTACCACCTCCACCTTCATTTAGACTGTAAGCTCCATGAGCAGAGCCCTCCTATTCTTTCTGTATTGAACTTATATTGTAATTGTATTGTCCCCCTTTAAATTGTAAAGCACTGCATAAATTGTTTACACTATATAAATCCTGTATAGTAATAGAAATATAGAACATAGAAAAGTGACGGCAGAAAAAGACCAAGTGGTCCATCGAGTCTGCCCGTTTTTTGTGGGTTTCTTTTTGGGGGGGGGGGGTTAACTTTTTTGTCTGAGTATAAATCCTATGCTTGTCCAAAGCATGTTTGAAGCTATTTACTGTTGACTGACTCACTACTTCTGCTGGAAGTTTATTCTAAGCATCAACTACTCTTTCAGTAAAATAATGCTTTCTGAGATTAGTTTTGAAATTTCCTCCAGTTAGTTTAAGGTCATGGCCCTGTGTTCTTGATTTTGGTTTCATGTTGAAAATACTGCCCTCCTGAACCTTATTCACCCCCCTGATGTATTTAAAGGTTTCAATCATGTCTTTCCCTTTCCCTTCTTTCCTCCAGACTGTATATGTTAAGCTCCTGAAGTCGCTCTTGATATGTTTATCCCCCTGACCTTTCACCATTTTTGTAACCCATCTCTGGCCTTGTTCTATCTTATCAATATCGTTTTGTAAGTGAGCTCTCCAGAGCTGGACACAGTATTCTAAATGAGGTCTCACTAAATATCTATATAGGAGAATCAGGACCTCCTTCGTCCTGCTGATGACCCCTCTAGTGATGCATCCTATAAATCTATTTACTTTCCCCACTGCCTGGTCACACTGTTTTCTCATTTTGCAATCATCTGAAATAAGTACCCCCAAGTCCTTTTCCTCTGAAGTGCTGGCCAACAATGTACCCCCAATGTTGCGCTCCCTCAAGGGATTCTTTTTCCCTAGGTGCATTATTTTACATGTAGAAACATTGAACTGACATTTCCACTTTTTTGACCAATCTTCCAGCAATGTCAAATCATGTTCCATGTTACATACCTCTCCAGGGATATCAATCTAGATTTTAAGCTCCAAGGAGCAGGGCCCTCGAACCCCTCGTTTATTGCATTGCATTGTTATTGTACTGTCTCATGTATTGTCTCCCATTGTAATGTACAGTGCTGAGCGAACCATTGGCGCTTTATAAATACTGTATAATAAAAATATAATAATAATAATATCACTATTGCACACCTTAGTGTCATCATCAAAAAGACTTACAGTACCTTACCCAACAAACCTTTAGTTATATCACTTACATATAGATTAAATAGTGCAGAGCTTTGTGGTACACCACTAGTGACTGGTTTCTTTTCCGAGTGAACCCCATTTACAACCAGACTCTGGTACCTATCCTTTAGCCAACTGCATATCCACTGAACCACCCAAGGGCTAAGTCCTAGCTTGTATAACTTTTGTATTAGATCATTCTGTGGAACTGTATCAAATGGTTTGCTGAAATCAAGATATGCTGTGTCCACAGCACCACCCTGGTCCAAAACATTGATAATATAGACAAAAAATCCAGTTTAGATTAGTCTGACATGATCTGCTCTCAGTAAAGCCATGCTGCTTTGGATCCAGCAAGTTGTGTTTTTAAGTGATCAATGATCCTTCTTTTCAGGAGTGATTACATTAACTTGACTACAACCGATATTAAACTCACTGGCCTGTAATTGCCAGCTTCTACGTTGCTGCCCTTCTTGTGGATAGGTACAAAATTAGCTGTGCACCAGTCATGGGGAACTTCTGTTAAAAGACATTGATTAAAAAGATCAGTTAAAGGTCCAACAACTATACCTCAACGTTCTGTTAGAACTAGAGATGAGCGAATTATTCAAAAATTCGATTCGGCTGATTCGCCGAATTTGCGGAATAAATTCGATTCGATGCGAATTTATTCGCTGCGAATTTAACTTATTAAAAGGGTTTCTAGGCTTCAGAGAGCCTTTATATTAGTGCAGAACACTGTACCTTTAATTTAAATGCCCTTGGAGTCTGCTGGGGAAGAGAAATAATACTGTCAGTCAGTATGACATGCAGATGAGTGCTGTCGATCTTAGAATCACCGCACACTTCACTCATTTGGGCAGTCACGGGGCACGACGAAGAAGAAGAAGATGAAGAAGAAGATGAAGAAGAAGAAGAAGAAGATGATGAAGAAGAAGAAGAAGATGAAGAAGAAGATGAAGATGAAGAAGAAGAAGAAGATGAAGAAGAAGATGATGAAGAAGAAGATGATGAAGAAGATGATGAAGAAGAAGATGATGAAGAAGAAGAAGATGAAGACGATGAAGAAGAAGATGAAGAAGAAGAAGATGAAGAAGAAGATGATGAAGAAGAAGATGAAGAAGAAGAAGAAGAAGATGAAGAAGAAGAAGATGAAGAAGAAGATGATGAAGAAGAAGATGATGAAGAAGAAGATGATGAAGAAGAAGAAGAAGATGATGAAGAAGAAGAAGAAGAAGAGGATGAGGAAGAAGAAGAAGAGGATGAAGAAGAAGAGGATGAGGATGAAGAAGAAGAAGAAGATGAGGATGAAGAAGAAGAAGAAGATGAAGAAGAAGAAGAAGAAGAGGATGAGGAAGAAGAGGATGAGGATGAGGAAGAAGAAGATGAGGATGAAGAAGATGAGGATGAAGAAGAAGAAGAAGATGAAGAAGATGATGATGAAGAAGATGATGAAGAAGAAGTAGAAGAAGAAGAAGATGAAAGATGAAGAAGAAGAAGAAGATGAAGAAGAAGATGAAGAAGAAGAAGAAGAAGAGGATGAGGATGAAGAAGAAGAAGAAGAAGAAGAAGATGAGGATGAAGAAGAAGAAGATGAAGATGAGGATGAAGAAGAAGAAGATGAAGATGAGGATGAAGAAGAAGAAGATGAAGAAGAAGAAGAATATGAAGAAGAAGAAGATGAAGAAGAAGAAGAAGATGAAGAAGAAGAAGAAGATGAAGAAGAAGAAGAGGATGAGGATGATGAAGAAGAAGAAGATGAGGATGAAGAAAAAGAGAAGAAGATGAGGATGAAGAAGAAGAAGAATATGAAGAAGAAGAAGATGAAGAAGAAGATGAAGAAGAAGAAGATGAGGAAGAAGAAGAAGAGGATGATGAGGATGAAGAAGAAGAAGAAGAAGAAGAAGATGAGGATGAAGAAGAAGAAGAAAAAGAAAGAAGATGAAGATGAAGAAGGATGAAGAAGAAGAAGATGAAGAAGAATATGAAGAAGATGAAGAAGAAGAAGATGAAGAAGATGAAGAAGAAGAAGATGAAGAAGAAGAAGAAGATGAGGAAGAAGAAGAAGAAGATGAGGAAGAAGAGGATGAGGAAGAAGAAGAAGAAGAAGAAGAAGATGAGGATGAGAAGAAGAAGAAGAAGAAGAAGAAGATGAGGATGAAGAAGAAGATGAGGATGATGAAGAAGAAGATGAAGAAGAAGATGATGAAGAAGATGATGATGAAGAAGAAGAAGATGATGATGATGAAGAAGAAGAAGATGATGAAGAAGAAGAAGAAGATGATGAAGAAGAAGAAGAAGAAGATGAAGATGAAGAAGATGAAGATGAAGAAGAAGAAGATGAGGAAGAAGAAGAAGATGAGGAAGAAGAAGAAGAGGATGAGGATGAAGAAGAAGAAGAAGATGAGGATGAAGAAGAAGAAGAGGAGGATGAAGAAGAAGATGATGAAGAAGATGATGATGAAGAAGAAGATGATGATGAAGAAGATGATGATGATGAAGAAGAAGAAGAAGAAGATGAAGAAGAAGAAGAAGAAGATGAAGGAGAAGAAGATGAGGATGAAGAAGAAGAGGATGAATAAGAAGAAGATGAGGATGAAGAAGAAGAAGAAGAGAATGAGGATGAAGAAGAGGATGAGGATGAAGAAGAAGAAGAAGAGAATGAGGATGAAGAAGAGGATGAGGATGAAGAAGAAGAAGAGGATGAGGATGAAGAAGAAGAAGATGAAGAAGAAGAAGAAGATGAGGAAGAAGAAGAAGAGGATGAGGATGAAGAAGAAGATGAGGATGAAGAAGAAGAAGAAGAAGATGATGAAGAAGATGATGATGAAGAAGATGAAGAAGAAGAAGAAGATGATGAAGAAGATGATGATGAAGAAGATGAAGAAGAAGAAGAAGATGAGGATGAAGAAGAAGAAGAAGAAGAAGAAGAAGAGAATGAGGATGAAGAAGAGGATGAGGATGAAGAAGAAGAAGAAGAAGAGGATGAGGATGAAGAAGAAAGAAGAAGAAGAGGATGAGGATGAAGAAGAAGAAGAGGATGAGGATGAAGAAGAAGAAGAAGAAGAAGGATGAAAATAAGAAGAATTCCGGTACAGCAAAAAGTGTATCTGCAGAGAGCTCCGCTATTTCTGACAGTTCTCTGACAGTTCCTTCACATTTACAGCGGTTGAAACATTGTATCTATTTGTTTCCGAATAAAAACATCTGTATCTTAAATGGAAACAAATAGATACAATGTTTCAACCGCTGTAAATGTGAAGGAACTGTCAGAGAACTGTCAGAAATAGCGGAGCTCTCTGCAGGGACACTTTTTGCCGGCTGTAGAAGGGATGAAAATCGGCCGATCGGGAAAAATTTGATTCGTGCACCCGAAGTTTGCTAATTTTCGGATTCGGTGCGAATCGAATTTTTCCTAATATTCAAAATGAATTCCACTTCGCCAAGTTCGATTCGCTCATCTCTAGTTAGAACTCTGGGATTAATACCATCAGAGCCCATTGCTTTATCAATATTTCACAGAGCCACTTCCTCTGCTACTTCTGTCTCCAGAAATCTTAAAAATGAATCATTATTACTAGAACCAATATGATTTCCCAACGTATTATTGTTAGTACCATTTATTTCTGAGAGAAGCCTGAACAAAAGTAATTGTTTAAGTGGTTTGCTACATGCAGGTCTTCGTCAACATAAGTGTTGTGCCCAGTTTTCATTCTAGTGATTTCCTTAGTGATCGCTAATGTACCTTAAAAAGATTTTATCTCCTTTCCTAATAGATTTAGCAATTTCCTCCTCTTTTTGTGCTTTGCTAATGTGTTTGGTCTCCTTTTAAATAATAATAAATTCTAGTAATCAACTTCTCCTATATGCTGCCTTTTGGTCTTTTAAATATACAATTGCAGGGATTTTCTTATAGCTGCTAGTTAACAGAACTATACTTCAAACACAAGTTCTTTTCCAGGGTAACAACACTGTTCCTATACAGATATGGTGAAAAAAATGCTGTCAACCTAGAAAATGAAATGTGATACTGGCAGGATTACCAGAAGAATAAAAAGAAAAGCCTGGAAAAAGAAAATTAATGCAGCCACGATACATAAAGACTGGTAAACCGCAGTATATTTCATTTTTGTATTTGGGTTTAGATGAGCTTTAAGGGTTCCCGAAAGTATGGTGAGATGGGACATTTGACAACCTCCTGGTAACTAGCGATGAACTGAACTGCCCTGGGTTTGGAAGTTTGGATGCTGAACCCAAATTCACCTGAAATCAGCAGGAGCCAAACCTGTCAAATTAGAAATGCCCCTTTCTGGGCTAATAGGCAAGGGAATGTAAATAAAATAGCATTGGGGGGGGGGGGGGACTGTCCTGGGTAACAGATGCCCATGCAAAAGGAAAACAAAAGTTCCAGTCAGGGGCAGTAGTCTTTGAAATACATTAAAGCAGGGTGTCTATCCTTGTGCCTTTCTGGGGCCATGTTGGTAGAAGACGAATTGTCTTGGGCCACACATAAAATGTACTAACAATAAGGATAGCTGATCAACAGAAAAAGTTGTGCAGATCACAAGTTAATGATCACTGATATAGATAATAGAGCTTTTTTAAAAAAAATATTTTTTATATTATAAAAGAGGGCAACATAAACATGGCGTGATATTTGACACACACTATTTTTGATAAACTAACACACCAATATCTGGTTCAATGGATGTAGTAACAATTCTCAATGAATTTACAAAGTGCTTATCACATATTTTGTTTCTAAATTTGCCCTTGTGTGCTGCAGCTGTGAAAATAGTTGCTCACAAATACAGCTGGTGTCAAAAACTAACATGAATAAAGTGTGATTTTGAAGAGTTGGATATTTTTTTTTAGGAAGATAAAACTTACAAAAGTCCAGTAAAGAGACATTGTCAAATTATCCGTCGGCCGCATGTTTTTGCTAAGTGTAAATACATTAAAAAAATAAACAAATCAACATTTTTAATAAGTTTACAATTTTGTGTTGGGTCACATTCTTAGCTGTATTGGGCCACATGTGGTACATGGGTGGCAGGTTGGACACCCATGTTTTAAAGTGAAACATGAAAAATGCTCAATTTCTTTTAAATAACATGCATGAGGGTATCCTAATCCTGCCTGTGAAAGGGGCGCATCTCTGTGATGTACAGAAAGTGCTGCAGCAGCACTGACATTTACATAAGAAAAATGTAAAAAGAATCTTCGTCCCAATCCTGCTGACAATTCTGATGGTACTTGTGGCAATTGTGCGCATAGAGACAAGGACGCTGGCAACCATTTTGTTACGTCTACCATTTTGTCTTATGACTCTCGATTCTCCCTTTGAATGGACTGTGGTCTGTAAATGAACTGAGGTCAAAAGTGCATATCTTACTCCATGGCTGTAAATCCCTAATTAGACTGGTTCCAGAATGTCTGCTTGACAACCACTTTCCTCTGCCCGGTCATAAAACCATAACTCAGTCGGTTATGACCTGTTAGTGTCCCATAAAACGTACATTCCCCATGAGTCATTTTTCATACAAATTCATAAGCTTCAGCAGGAACTGGGCACATTGATAGGAAGTATATATTCGGATAGGTCATTTTAATATGAGTCACGCAAGACCTTACATGCCTATGTTGTGCCTACAAGAGGGTAGAAATCAATATATTTTATCTGGAGTGGCAGGATATGCTACAGTTTGGTATCTGCGCATTTGGAATATGATTCTAAATATTAATCTGCCAGTTGCTAGGATGCTACCTGTACCTATGGAAGGTTATTGACCATAGTATGAACTTGGAAGGGATTTGGTCCTAACCTTTGTCGCCGCCTAACACCCATCTCCAAATGAGGTGATTGGCTATTTGGTCTCAGGAGACACCCCTTTAAGATAATAGAAAAAGACTGACAGACTGGAGAAAAGTAAGAGATCTCTCCCTTTTAATATCAGGAACCATCTTTGGGAGAAAGGCAACCTTTTGTTTGGATGATTGGACTCTGCTCAAACCAAGGACTTTTGCAAGTATTCTACCTTCTGAACTTCTTTCTTTTATTTCTCTGTTGTTTTATTACTCTCTTTATATATATTTGTTACATCTTTTTCTGTAAATATTTTAATTGCACCATTTTAACCTTTAGTAATAAATCCTATTTTCTGAAAAGTGTTGAAACTGTCTCTAAAGCTTTTAATGCAAACTAAAGAATCCCTGTCTCTGAAGAGTGCTACTGTATGTATTAGTTCTCTGAATACATTTGTCTGTGGTGACAGTGTGTTACAGACGCTTATACTAATATCATAGTGTTACTGCCAAGATTTGTTAGTTTCCTCCTTCTCTGTAAAAAGGTGGTGGTGGCAGTGTGAAGGGTTGATTGCGTAATTAACCTGACCCAGTAACAATTGCTCTCAGGCTGCTCGCACATAATTGTGGTCCCGCAAGCTGGAAAAATCTTTGTGCAGGGCACAGCTGAGAGTGCCATTGTTACGCAAGTGACAGCGTGGTGTCTGAGATCGGCTGGTCCTTCGGTCACAAGTAGAGATGAGCAAATTATTCAAAAATTTGATTCGGCTGATTCGGCGAATTCGCGGAATAAATTCAATTCGAGTCGAATATATTCGCTGCGAATTTAACTTATAAAAAGGGTGTTTCTAGGCTTCAGAGAGCCTTTATATTAGTGCAGAACACTGTACCTTTAATTTAAATGCCCTTGGAGTCTGCTGGGGAAGAGAAATAATACTGTCAGTCAGTATGACATGCAGATGAGTGCCGTCGATCTTAGAATCACCGCACACTTCACTCATTTTGGGCAGTCACGGGGCCAAAAACCAGAGTGTGGAGCCACAGTGTGGCGGTGGAGGCAGCAGCAATGGGAGGCCATACAGCACCCTATGAAAAAAAATGGAACCCACCAGCAGTGTGAGGAGACCTGAAAGTGGCACATGGCAGAGTGTGGCGATGGAGACAGCAGCAATGGGAGGCCGTACAGGGACCCATGACACACTCTGGACCTGGCAGCAGCATGAGGAGGCGGTACAGGGGCCCATGACAGATTACGGGCCTGGCAGCAGCATGAGGAGTCGGTACGGGGGCCCATGGCAGATTACGGGCCTGGCAGCAGCAATGGGAGGCCCGTAATCTGCCAGCACCCTATGAAAAAATGGAACCCACCAGCAGTGTGAGGAGACCTGAAAGTGGCACATGGCAGAGTGTGGCGATGGAGACAGCAGCAATGGGAGGCCGTACAGGGACCCATGACACACTCTGGACCTGGCAGCAGCATGAGGAGGCGGTACAGGGGCCCATGACAGATTACGGGCCTGGCAGCAGCATGAGGAGTCGGTACGGGGGCCCATGGCAGATTACGGGCCTGGCAGCAGCAATGGGAGGCCGTACAGGGACCCATGACACACTCTGGACCTGGCAGCAGCATGAGGAGGCGGTACAGGGGCCCATGACAGATTACGGGCCTGGCAGCAGCATGAGGAGTCGGGACGGGGGCCCATAACAGATTACGGGCCTGGCAGCAGCAGCAATTGGAGGCCCGTAATCTGCCAGCCACCCTATGACAAAATGGAACCCACCAGCAGTGTGAGGAGACCTGAAAGAGGCACATGGCAGAGTGTGGCGATGGAGACAGCAGCAATGGGAGGCCATACAGGGACCCATGACACACTCTGGACCTGGCAGCAGCATGAGGAGGCGGTACAGGGGCCCATGACAGATTACGGGCCTGGCAGCAGCATGAGGAGTCGGTACGGGGGCCCATGGCAGATTACGGGCCTGGCAGCAGCAATGGGAGGCCATACAGCACCCTATGACAAAATGGAACCCACCAGCAGTGTGAGGAGACCTGAAAGTGGCACACGGCAGAGTGTGGCGATGGAGACAGCAGCAATGGGAGGCCGTACAGGGACCCATGACACACTCTGGACCTGGCAGCAGCATGAGGAGGCGGTACAGGGGCCCATGACAGATTACGGGCCTGGCAGCAGCATGAGGAGTCGGTACGGGGGCCCATGGCAGATTACGGGCCTGGCAGCAGCAATGGGAGGCCCGTAATCTGCCAGCACCCTATGAAAAAATGGAACCCACCAGCAGTGTGTGAGGAGACCTGAAAGTGGCACATGGCAGAGTGTGGCGATGGAGACAGCAGCAATGGGAGGCCGTACAGGGACCCATGACACACTCTGGACCTGGCAGCAGCATGAGGAGTCTGGGTACAGGGGCCCATGACAGATTACGGGCCTGGCAGCAGCATGAGGAGTCGGTACGGGGGCCCATGGCAGATTACGGGCCTGGCAGCAGCAATGGGAGGCCCGTAATCTGCCAGCACCCTATGACAAAATGGAACCCACCAGCAGTGTGAGGAGACCTGAAAGTGGCACATGGCAGAGTGTGGCGATGGAGACAGCAGCAATGGGAGGCCGTACAGGGACCCATGACACACTCTGGACCTGGCAGCAGCATGAGGAGGCGGTACAGGGGCCCATGACAGATTACGGGCCTGGCAGCAGCATGAGGAGTCGGTACGGGAGGCCATGGCAGATTACGGGCCTGGCAGCAGCAATGGGAGGCCCGTAATCTGCCAGCACCCTATGACAAAATGAACCCACCAGCAGTGTGAGGAGACCTGAAAGTGGCACATGGCAGAGTGTGGCGATGGAGACAGCAGCAATGGGAGGCCGTACAGGGACCCATGACACACTCTGGACCTGGCAGCAGCATGAGGAGGCGGTACAGGGGCCATGACAGATTACGGGCCTGGCAGCAGCAATGGGAGGCCCGTAATCTGCCAGCACCCTATGACAAAATGGAACCCACCAGCAGTGTGAGGAGACCTGAAAGTGGCACATGGCAGAGTGTGGCGATGGAGACAGCAGCAATGGGAGGCCGTACAGGGACCCATGATACACTCTGGACCTGGCAGCAGCATGAGGAGTCGGTACGGGGGCCCATGGCAGATTACGGGCCTGGCAGATGACGACGAGGCTGCCAAGTGCGATCAGCCTCATCATCATCAATTTGGGTCTCCGCCTCACTACTAGCCCCCTCGGCTGCGTGTGGGTCAGGAGACAGACCTGTCTCTAGACCAGCTACCGGAGCCACTCTCCTCGCCAGTACTTCTTCGCCTGGCTGCTGAGAGAGGCGGATGTCTCCCCCCGTTCCTGACCGCCCTCTGTTAGCTCTTCCTCACTGTACAGTGGGCTGAGCCCACAGCATGCGATACTTCGCTTGGTGAGGGAACACCAAAGGACAGGGGCAGGTAGAGGACACGTGATTTCAGTGGGCTTGCTCCCGGGCCATGCCAACTAACGGTTGTGTCTGATGTACCCCACCGACCGTTGGCTGTAGGTGTCAGAGGTGACCTAGGAAGAGGAAGACGACCGAACCAACCAATCGATGACGGCAGGGTTGTCGGTGGAGACACGACCGCTGGATGACACCGGGAGCACTGGCCTCTGGCTGCGACTAGTGCTGCCTCGACCCCTTCCTCTGCTGCCACGTCTGCTCGCTCCTGAAACATTGCCTCCTCTGCCACTCCTCTGCGTGTTGTCTGACATACTCTTTAATTCAACGATTCTGTGTCCCTGAGTAACGATTCTGTGTCCCTGAGTAACAATTCAGTGTCCCTGAGTAACGATTCTGTGTCCCTGAGTAACAATTCAGTGTCCCTGAGTAACAACTCTGTGTCCCTCAGTAACGATTCTGTGTCCCTGAGTAACGATTCTGTGTCCCTGAGTAACGATTCTGTGTCCCTCAGTAACGATTCTGTGTCCCTCAGTAACGATTCTGTGTCCCTGAGTAACGATTCTGTGTCCCTGAGTAACGATTCTGTGTCCCTGAGTAACGATTCTGTGTCTGTCCCTGAGTAACGATTCTGTGTCCCTGAGTAACGATTCTGTGTCCCTGAGTAACGATTCTGTGTCCCTCAGTAACGATTCTGTGTCCCTGAGTAACAATTCTGTGTCCCTGAGTAACGATTCTGTGTCCCTCAGTAACAATTCTGTGTCCCTGAGTAACGATTCTGTGTCCCTGAGTAACGATTCTGTGTCTGTCCCTGAGTAACAATTCTGTGTCCCTGAGTAACGATTCTGTGTCCCTGAGTAACAATTCTGTGTCCCTCAGTAACGATTCTGTGTCCCTCAGTAACGATTCTGTGTCCCCTGAGTAACAATTCTGTGTCCCTGAGTAACAATTCTGTGTCCCTGAGTAACAATTCTGTGTCTGTCCCTGAGTAACAATTCTGTGTCCCTGAGTAACGATTCTGTGTCCCTCAGTAACGATTCTGTGTCCCTGAGTAACAATTCTGTGTCCCTGAGTAACAATTCTGTCCCTGTCTGTCCCTGAGTAACAATTCTGTGTCCCTCAGTAACAATTCTGTGTCCCTCAGTAACAATTCTGTGTCCCTGAGTAACAATTCTGTGTCCCTGAGTAACGATTCTGTGTCCCTCAGTAACAATTCTGTGTCCCTGAGTAACGATTCTGTGTCCCTCAGTAACAATTCTGTGTCCCTGAGTAACAATTCTGTGTCCCTGGAGTAACAATTCTGTTTCCCTGAGTAACGATTCTGTGTCCCTCAGTAACGATTCTGTGTCCCTCAGTAACAATTCTGTGTCCCAGAGTAACGATTCTGTGTCCCTGAGTAACAATTCTGTGTCCCTGAGTAACGATTCTGTGTCCCTCAGTAACAATTCTGTGTCCCTGAGTAACAATTCTGTGTCCCTGAGTAATAATTCTGTGTCTGTCCCTGAGTAACAATTCTGTGTCCCTGAGTAACAATTCTGTGTCCCTGAGTAACGATTCTGTGTCCTGAGTAACGATTCTGTGTCCCTCAGTAACGATTCTGTGTCCCTCAGTCACGATTCTGTGTCCCTGAGTAACGATTCTGTGTCCCTGAGTAACGATTCTGTGTCCCTGAGTAACGATTCTGTGTCCCTCAGTAACGATTCTGTGTCCCTGAGTAACGATTCTGTGTCCCTGAGTAACAATTCTGTGTCCCTGAGTAACGATTCTGTGTCCCTCAGTAACAATTCTGTGTCCCTGAGTAACGATTCTGTGTCCCTCAGTAACAATTCTGTGTCCCTGAGTAAAACAATTCTGTGTCCCTGAGTAATGATGATTCTGTGTCCCTCAGTAACAATTCTGTGTCCCTGAGTAACAATTCTGTGTCTGTCCCTGAGTAACAATTATGTGTCCCTGAGTAACAATTCTGTGTCCCTGAGTAACAATTCTGTGTCCCTCAGTAACAATTCTGTGTCCCTGAGTAACAATTCTGTGTCCCTGAGTAACAATTCTGTGTCCCCTGTCCCTGTTCTGTGTCCCTGAGTAACAATTCTGTGTCCCTGAGTAACAATTCTGTGTCCCTCAGTAACAATTCTGTGTCCCTGAGTAACAATTCTGTGTCCCTGAGTAACGATTCTGTGTCCCTCAGTAACAATTTTGTGTCCCAGAGAGTAACAATTCTGTCCCTGAGTAACGATTCTGTGTCCCTCAGTAACAATTCTGTGTCCCTGAGTAACAATTCTGTGTCCCTGAGTAACAATTCTGTGTCTGTCCCTGAGTAACAATTCTGTGTCCCTGAGTAACAATTCTGTGTCCCCTGAGTAACAATTCTGTGTCTGTCCCTGAGAAACAATTCTGTGTCCCTGAGTAACAATTCTGTGTCCCTGAGTAACAATTCTGTGTCCCTCAGTAACGATTCTGTGTCCCTCAGTAACAATTCTGTGTCCCTGAGTAAAAATTCTGTGTCCCTGAGTAACAATTGTGTGTCTGTCCCTGAGTAAACAAATTCTGTGTCCCTGAGTAACAATTCTGTGTCCCTGAGTAACGATTCTGTGTCCCTAAGTAACGATTCTGTGTCCCTAAGTAACGATTCTGTGGCCCTAAAGTCTCTCTGGCCCTAACTCTGTCCCTAATACAGACAGGTCTGTCTCTCTTGAATGACCGGAGGCTAATGGAGAATTGTAAGATGGCCGCAATTTATAGCTCCACCATTACACAGTGCTGGCTGGCTGGCTGCTGATTGGCTAATGCGATCACATGTCATGAATGAATGCATTATGGGTCAGCGCGCCTTGTCTGCGTGCCTTCCCTGAGATCCCCGCTCCGTCGCCACACATCTCGCCGCCATTTTTGGGAAAATTCGATTCGTGCATCCGAAGTTTGCTAATTTTCAGATTCGGCGCGAATCGAATTTTTTTTTGATCTTCGAAACGAATTCCACTTCGCCATGTTCGATTCGCTCATCTCTAGTCACAAGTTGGTGAGAAGGGCTGGGGTCTGACGCCGCGTAACTTCACAGTACTCATTGCTGAATGACAGCTCCTTAGGTGGGTTTGGAGGCAGGGATGGTAGTGGCTAGTGTCCATATTTGTGCAGTAATGTTGCTGCTATCCGAGCCCTTTTGCTTAATTGGCGAGGATTCCTGGTGACATCAGAAGTTCACCGTGGGTGTAAGTCAATGACCATGGGAAGCTGCCATATGTAGAAGTGGTATAAATGACTCTTCTATATATGATTTTCGACTCCCACCAAACAAGGGGCTAAATGGGCAAAAGTTTGGGCATTGGTCTATATGCTCAAACAACCAAACTTTGGTCCAAACATAGGTTCACTCTCAGGGCGGACTGACAACTCATGGGGGCCCCCTGTGTCTTTGCCCAAACTCAAAAAAAGCCTATGAAAAGGTACCAGGGGCATCTCATGGGGCCCCCTACTGACCCCGGGCCCTCGGGCAGTCCCCGAGCTTCCAAATGGTCAGTCTGCCCCTGTTCACTCTTAACCGCTGGCTCATTCATCCTGTAACAGTTACATCAGGTTTGCTGGCCGTCAATTCATATGCAGATGCTGTATATGAAGATGGTTCATAATATTGTTTTGTAACAAATGCAGAAAAGTATTGCCCTTTCTATTAACTGATCCCTTAAGCTGGCCATACACTAAGCAAATTTTCCTAATGAACTGGGCAAAATTTGATGAGTGGATTGCCCTGCCGACACCACTCCATTTCACATCCTTTGATTGAAGTATCAAAGGACCCATAAAAATACAGTAGTTGTTGGATGAACAGTGCCTGTATCCAATCAGATACAGACACTGTTCGGCATTGGCTGTCAGAATACAGCCAATAATAATAGTCACAGTGGGAGATTTGTCCATTCGTACTGTTTATCATGGATGGAGAAAATCTATTAGATTTCTTTTTCTCATCCCACAGAAAAAAAATGTATTGTGTGGCTAGCTTTTCTATAACAGATATGTTACAGCATGTTAAGTTTGGCACACACATACTGAAAGACGACCAGTTCATCAGGAACCGCTCAACATTCAGACCATGAATACTGTTGTCTAAAAACCAGCTTCTGTTGAATGGTCCTCCTGCAAAACCAGCATTCATTCAAAGCTTGCAGCCAGTGTTTGGAAAAGCTGATCAGTGTATTCTGATGGGGAGGTGGGAAAGCTTTTTAATTATCATAAAATCATGTAATTTTATTCATCACAATTTTCCAGATCTTGGCTTGTTTGATTTTCCACACATCACAAAGACGTAATTAGATAAATGTAACAATTATATACTTTTAAATAAAAAGGAAGTAGGTGAGGTTATTTAATGCAGTGGTGTGCCTATGTACTGTATGTTGCAAAAACTGCGCAAAACACAGTGAAATACGCAGTTCAACCATCTTGTAGGCACCTCCATATTGGTATGGAGTATATATTGTGTCTCTCATTTCTCATTCTCCTTCCCCCCTCCCTTCCTGAGAGGCACAGTGACAGATGTGTGTGTGTTAAAAGCGTCACTGGCAGGTAGAGCAGCAGGGGGCCCAGAGCTACAAAGCCCCCCAAGAGAGACAGAGACTAGCTGCCCAAGACCATGTGTAATCTCTCACCTCGTAACAGAGATAAGGCAGCTTTTCCAAGGAATTGAAAGAGATTGTAACCTCATAAAACCTAG